ATTTAATCATCTTATTAAAACTTGAATTGAAATTACTTCATTTTTTTTTTTTCGATAGGTAAATCTATATAGATTATATGCTTTTTTAAAAAATTATCTGACGAAGAAGTTTAGAATTTTACGTTTTCTCATAATATTAGGTATATAACTATTATATAGTACTATTTTTTTTTTTTTTTTTAATTACCTACTGTAACTTCTTCAGTTTTTCGTCTCGTCATTTCGACTCCAAAATCGCCAAATCGAAACTGTACAATCACTAGCCTCCAAACGCTATTCCAGATTCCACCAAAAATTATCATCAAACTCTAGCCTCCTAATTTCCTCAACTCGTGAAATCTAACCCAAATTTAAATCTAACGTGCCGTTTGAAACGTCAACGGTGCAGAGATTATTAATTTTCTAATAAAATAAAAAAAAAACTTTATCGTTGATGATATTTAAAAAAAATAAATATATGACATTTTCTCCAAAACACATTCCTATTCAAATTGGGTAGTAGCTGCAGGTGTTTAACTTTTTTATATGTTAACTTTKACATTAACAGAGATTTCAGAATTTTTATTTAGGGAAATAKCTGATGAGTAGACGAAGATAGATTATATTTATCCGCGCATACCTTTAACTAAAAGATGATGGGAATTTAGACGAATAGTGATGGCTAACAATCAATTGACAAATCCCTGTGCATATAATGTCCCCTGTGCCCCCGCATCTAATTCCGCCAGTGATATTACCTACKAATGCATATAATACGTATATCAGCTGTGGTATATAAATCGTGATGTATAGGTACACTTATCATCGTCCGTGCTTTTATWATTTTTCCTTTGATTTTACTTCCCTTGTAAWCTGCAACGTCGACCTATTATATCAGGCACGTGCGCTCAAGTTTATCATATTTTTGAGGCCTTGGATCCTTTTTCACCGCTGTCCCTTTGCCCTCGGCACACGCGATATATGATGTATATAATTGCAACCACTATCAATCATTGTTCATTATATCATCAATCATCATATCATATGATATGTGGTTTTATAATAATTGCATGTATTATTCACGCCCACCATGCAATTATATTATGTATACGTAATATTATGATATGGTGCTAATCATTGAGCACAGTAATTAGTAAAGTTATTACAATAACAATTATTAACTTTTACACGCGGTTTTTCCGTGACGACGCCGGTGTTTCGTACAACGTAGTAGACAATGGAGTATACATACATTTGTATGGAGGGGGAGGTGATCAGTTTAAAAAAGCGGGTTAGTGGATGTCGCTCTGCTGTACAGTAGGTTATAAGTGTCTTACTGCAATGGATGGCATTAAACTTGAACTCAATGAAATTATATCATTTTATGTACTAAAAACGATTCTGAGTGGAAACGGTTTGCCAGTCCTGGATATATTATACTATATTAATTTTGTTATTATTATTATTATTATTATTATTGAAAGAAAAAGGAGGCTTCAACATCTGCGGTTATTAGCCTTGTGTACATGTTACGACATTGTGTGAGTTACATTAATAATTCAATTCCAAAGGTTACAATAGTCTTAAATTATGAATACATGTTAGTCAAAGAATACTTACAATTTTAATTTGTGTGAGGAAATTTAAGATTTTTATGGTATTGTCTTCATGGAAACCTTCTTCTAAGTTGTTGAGTATTGATAAGGTATTTCCGATATTTTGAAAATCTGGGAAGTYTAGGATGATTTGTTGGATYGTTAGGTCTTCTTGGCATTTATTACATACTATATTAATTATATTGTTATTATTTWAAAAAAAAATGTRGGCACTTACRAAATAAACTCAAAATTAATCAAATCAGATTCATTATTTACCCGACTCACTCAGTCATTCACAGAAGGTATAAACGATTTATTATAAAGTATTAATATAAATCATTAACGACAGTAACTATTAGTATCAAAATACAAAGTACACTCTAGAAATTAATGTACCCACGAATAATATTTTTAAATTACAACAATATAACTAAAATTGTTACTCTTGATTACTTAATATGAAATTTCATCCAAATTTGAACTTAAATTAACTATTAAAAAAATTATGTTTGTATAATTTTTAGATTTTTTGTTATGGAGCAGAATTAATTACTTATGTGGAACCTTGCTTTAAATTTTCAACCCTCAGCTATAAAATTTAAACGTTTTATAAATTGTTAATTAAATATATTTTGTTAAAATTTAAACTTTAAATAGTTATTAAAAAAAAAAACGTGCCAATGTATTTTTAATAATTTTTCAACTGCTATTATATAAACTTATGGGGAACCACGAATAAAATTTTCTGCAAGTTGTTTGACCCAATGAATACAATTTTATCGACATTTATAGAATAAAAACTAAAAATTCGGAAAGTTTCAAATGTCTATAGATAATTTAAAAATTGTTGAAATATTTTAAAAATTTAATCAACTATAGAAATTCAGCGAAAATTGTATGTGTCTACGGCAATTTGTTTTA